GGTCAGGACCTACAGTCCTGCATTCCAACACACCTTCAGAACTGTTTCAATTACAGTATGCATACAAGCACACTCAACTGCAGCCAGCTGAGGGCTTTGGATCCCTCATGCTTCTGCCACCCACAGACATAATACACATTCAGTGATACAGAAATCCTCTTGGAAGCTGGGTGTTGGTATAACCCACCCTCACTGTGTATGCCATTTTAACAACAATATAGATAGCAAGTTATCCCAAAATAGACTAGTACAAAACTATTAGCTTCAGTCTCCACAGCACACATGAATAACCACAGCCTTAGTGCAAGCAAGGTTATTTATTTCCTCTGCAGAACAGGAGACAACGTCCCAAACTCCACAGCCACTGCAGTCACCCACAGCAAGTTTACAGTGACCCTTCCTCTTCTACTCATGTCTTGCACTTGCTGAACCTGATCCTGAACTATTCCAGATCTTGTACTCCAGAAAGGCATGTCAAATTTTACTTCTCCCATGCAGCACCTTCATAAGATGCTCCCTTTCAAGCCAGATCCTGAGCAGCAACACAGTCAGCACCTCACCTGCATCTGCAAACGAAGACCAGTTCACTGAGCTCTCCCTACTACTAATCCTACCATCCCGTGGTCTTCAGAAAATGTTATTTCTTCAGAAACTTCCTTTGATGGACTGTTTTTGAAATTTACTTTGTTTGTGAGAAGAACACACACACACACTCATTTTTCTTGCAATGATGCTGCCCTCTAGCATAAGGTGTGGGAGAAACAATAAACGTTTTTGGAAAAATTTAAACACATCAGATTTGCATAGTTCCTAACTAAAGGAAGGCAACTTAGGCTTTACCCCACCCCCACCCACCAGTCTTCACAAGTTTTAAATTAGAAAAATCCCTCCGATGTTTTTTAATTAAGGGTAGATAGATTTAAATTATGTCCATATCTGTAAACCCAACCTCTCTGCATGCACAAGCAGCTCTGATCTATAAAAAAACCAAGTGAGAACTCCTTCTGCAACACTAGGTGTGACATGGGTGTGTAGATAACGCAAGAGGAAGCTCTGTGTACAGCTCCTCTGATTTTCTATGAGCAATTTCCTCTACCTCCACAACCTCCAGTTCCCTCCCCACTTTACAGAACTCTTTAACCCAGCATGAATCTGCTGTGTGTTCAGGGAATACCAGAATCCATGCTCAAATAACTGAACCATCACAAGGAAAAGTGTTGCATTTACCAAAGTACAGTTAACCCACAAAGCTCTAACAAGATGGGAATAAGAGATATATCTCATGGCTCTCACAAATGCAGAGGTACCCGGGAACATGCAGGCTTCAAAAGCAACCCCAGGAGAGGGATGTAGTGGAAATCACAGACAGGAATTTGGAATCATTTTCAACTCTAAATCTTGTGTAAACATTAATGGTGCTGGCTCAGAGAGAACCCTGCCTGAGTAAATACACATGAGCACCATTAGGTACTGAGAACAAAACAGTCCCCCCAATTATTAGAGCTATTAAGAACGCCACTGCCTAAATATTTAAATTTTAGCAAACCTACTTAGCATTAAAGTTTCTTTTAAGAATTATGCTCCCCAAACTGAAAAACACCAGGTCACAATGAAACCAAGAACCCACAGGAGATTTGTTATAACCTGGAGGAACCTGTTATTTTTACATCCTGCTGAAAACATCTGTGAGTGATTTATAACTGTTCTGGATAGAAGACATTACTTTTTCTCCTCTCAATTACCAAAATGGATTAAATTCATGGCCAGTTCCTAGCTTCACATAGAAACCTACTCCAGACTCAATACTCCTAAAAATATGAAGGAGCATTCATATTTAAAGTCAATCAGTATTCTCAAACCCAACTTCTCAAAACAAAGTGAGAAAACACTACAATTTAACAATTGTTTTATGCATATGTAGATTTTTTAAATCACCTATACATGTAAATAAAAATCACGCTTTCAAGATGCATTTGCTCTGTGCCCATCAAGAGGGCTACATCAGAGTGAGAGTGAGACTAAGACTGGAGGAAGATTTAGAGAAAAACAGATACATGTAACAAAGCAGATTTAGAAATATAATGAAACATGTAAGAGAAGAACAGCAGAGAAGGAAAGTGCTTTAAGCTCAGAGATATCTTTAATGTGCATTATGCATGTGACCACTATAACCATGAAACATCCTTCCTAACCTGAAAATTAATCCATTACAACTAGATTTATCAGCAGTTTCTCGACAACTGAAAAAATTGAGGCATCAAATAGAAACTGCTGATATCCTTCCTGTCCCCAGGACAGCTGAGCACTGCAGAGAACCAGCGCAGTTGGGACATCCATGGTGGTGGCTGAGTGGTGAGGACAGCAACAACCTCTCCCCATACACCCCTCAGTATCTGGTAATAAGCTGCCAACTCCCAGGGCTAACCCAACACATAAACCTTCTCTATCAAACTGGGGGGACATTGTATGTACTGATATTTTGCAAGTCTGGGATATTTTTTTAATGACAGAAAAGGGACTCTATGAGTGTGCTCACACTCCTGTAACTGCTTCCAGAGATTAGGAATAAGGCCTGTCACCAAGAAACCATAAAGGAGATAAAAGCAGCTGGACTGGAAAGCAAACGAAATGCTACAGGGCAATACCATTGTTAAATGCAGCAACTCGACTCAGATGTAATGTACCTGAGTCAGGTCTGGAACAGAAAATGCTTAACAAACTAACAGCCATTTCAACATACCACAAAACTACTGCAAGCACTAAATTCCCATTGATATCAAAACAGGTGGCTTCCTGTTGAACACTATGGACTTCTATGTTGCATTAAACCAAGTCTCTAACACATTAAAAGGAAAAAAAAATCCTTATTTTACCCCATTCATTGTTTTTACTAATGATCTCTATGTCTCAATAACAAATGAGGAAGATTTATAATGCAACCACAAACAAGTCAAGGTAAGGACCTTCACTGCATGGGCCCTAAAACTTTTCGCTGAAAGAACAGAAGTATTTCCTAGCTACAAAAGGTCCCGCAAAGTTCAAATGATAGGATGTTTTACTTATAATGCAAATTTCCACCATCCAAAAAACATAACACTATTTGGCTTCTACGATGACCAGGAAAAGTGACTGCAGCACATGCGGCCATAACCTCCTCGCTTTAACCAAGGCCAAGTCCAAGCCCAAGGCATCAGCTGCACGTGCCCTGCAAGAACAAGCTTCGCCTCCACTTCCAGTTTGTTCCACACATGCTTTGCCTGGCCCAGCAGCCCCAGCCTGGTGACCCAATCCCCACCACAGCCGGGGCCACCACAGGGTGGGTCCTCCACTGCCGAGTGATCTCAGGATGGCTGTACTCCAGCTCGGTGCTCCTCCAAGGATGGGCCTGGCCCAGTGAGCGGGGCACTACAAGGGAGCAACAAGATTCCTGCTCTGTTGGCAGAACTAGGAGAAACTTCACCCAAAGCCACCTGTGGGGTGAGCTCCTTGGAGAGCGGCCTATGTACTCCAGGGCTGCAGCCGAGCCAGAATGTTTCTAATTCGCTGAAAGGCCAAATAACATTAACGTTAAGGTGCTGCTAGCGATCGAGCAATTCCGAAAGTTACATAATATTTTTCTACACACAAAAAGTAATTTAAGATAATAAAGCATGAGTATGTGTTTCCCTCCTGCTGCTCTTCCCTCCCCATCAGGAAGGTGAGCAGGCAACTCCTAAAACTGCAGCTTCATCTCTGGGCTTGCTTTTCCAGCGTCTTGTGTTTCAATATACACAATCGCTCAGCTGAACAGAAACCATCGTAAATCAGGAACGCCATGTGGAGAGCTGCGACGTGGTCATATCCTGCAACCTTTGAAACCATAGCCTTCGAGGGCAAGATGGCCATAGAGCCCAGCTCCGACGTGAAGGGCTGTTTGTGGGGCTGGAAAACTGAGGCTGCCCCTTAAAATAAGGGGTTTAAAAGGACTGTCAGCTTGGCACTGCTGATTGCACAAACTAGAAGTGTTGCTGTTATGGAGTAAGGAGCTAGTTAGTCTACAACTGGTTTAAAAAGCTTGTTGATACTGAGAAAACACTGAGCAAACGCAAAAACCTCCATAAAGCCAAAAGTGGCACCCCTGTGTTTTTTGCAGCGAACCATTTCCCCTTCAGCCCAAGTTTAAAACACCTCGCCTCAGCCGGGAACTTGTTGCAGATCCATCCTGCGCGAGAACTAAACTGATTAATTATTTTTTCTTCCCCTCAGTAATTAATTACAGAGATGCTTTTCGCCCACCCGCTCTCCCCTGCGGTACCACAGCCCACAAGGCAAGAAGGGACATTTTGAGTCAACGGAGCGAAAGAACATGGAGGCAGAAGCCGCCCTGCTGCCGGGCCGGGCCATGAGCGCTGCCAGTCGCCCCGCCAAGGCCTCCCGGCCTCCGGCCTCGGCGAGGCGGCGAGCAACGCCACGTAAATAAGCCAAAATCCCCCGGGGATTGAGGCCGCCGAAAGTTGTGCCGCCCCCGCGGGTCTGGGCGACATTTTGAGGCGCTGAGGGGAGCGGCTGAGGGTGCCCTCCCTCCCCCCGCGGGCAGCCCCCGCTGCCATCTTGGAGCCGGGAGGGAGCGGCGGGGAGGGGGCGCCGGGACCCCCGGGCGGGGGGGACCCCGGGCTCCTCCTCACCTTGATGTGGAAGCGGATGAGGGCCAGGCGGATGCAGTGCGCCATGCAGACGGGCGGCAGGAACCAGACCTTGGGCGGCGGGGTGCCCTTGTTCTGGACGTGGCTGACGATCTGCTGCGCCGTCTGGCGCTCGTTGCCCTGGCGCTTCACCCACTCGTGCAGCCGGGCCTTCTCCAGGGCGCCGTTGAAGAAGACGAAGAGCTCGATGTTCCCGTTGAAGCAGGCCTTGGCCAGGGCCGCCAGGTAGCCCAGCATGTGGTTCCACTGCCCGCCGCTCACCCAGTCCGTGTAGAAGCCGCCGTAGAGCCGGTGCAGGCAGTTGTCGGCGTCGATGAGGAGGCGCAGCGGGGTCTGGGGGGGCCGCTGGCGGCCCCCACCCACGAGGCTGCCCCGCGCCAGCTTCTGCAGCTCGACGGGCACCACGGCGCTGGGGCAGTGCTTCTCGATGTAGTCCTGGAATCCCTGCACTCCCATGGTGAGGACCGGGCGGCGGCGGCGAGCGGGCGAGCGGGGGCCCGGCGGCGGCGGCAGCAGCGGGGTCTGGGCTCGGGCCGGGCGGCGCGGCGGCGGCGGGCGGGCGGTGGGAGCGGTGGAGCCGGGTGGGAGCGCTGGCTGCCGTTGGTGGCTGATCAGGGGGGAGTTGTATGGATTAGTGGGGGGCTCATGGCTGCCGCGGCCGCCATGTGCTGCGCTCACAGAGCCATGGCTCGGGGATCCGGGCGGCTGCGGCTCCGACTGCCGGGGGGCGGGGGAGCGGCCGGGCGCGCAGGAAGCCAACCCGCCGCCGCCGCCGCCTGCGGCAGCGAGAGCGGAACGGGCGGGACTTGGCGGCGGCGCCGCTGCCACTCACACACCGCGCGGGGCCGCGGCGGGAGCGCAGGGAGAGCGGAGCGCCCTCGGCGCCGCCCGTGCTCGGAGCCCGGAGCCCCTCACGGCCCCCTGCCCTGCCCTTCCCTGCGGCTCTGGCCCGGCCCGGCCCGCCCGCCGCGGCCGTTGCATAACCTGGGCATGCGCGGGAGCGCGGCGGAAGCGAGTGGCGGGGAAGGGGAGGGGGCCGGGGCCGGGGGCGGGGAGCGGCGGCGGGAACCAGGGCAGGGGTGTCTCGGCTCGGCCTGCTCCGCTCCCGGTCCCGCTCTGCCGTCCAGCGACGCTCCGTCAGCCCTGCGGCCGCTGTGGCGGGCCCCGCGGGGCAGAGCGGCGCCCCGGGCACCTGTTGGCTCGGGGATGTTCGGCCGTGACAGGGCCGCAGAAGTGGTCCCACAGCGGTTCGGTTCCGGCCGGGGAGCCGCGCCCGACCTGGCCGTAGCGCCTCCGGTAAAGGGTGACCGGCTGGCCTGGCCTCTCCTGGCTGAGCGTTTGCTGCTCCTGGTAAAGCTTCCAGAGCGTAGAATACCCCGATCTGGAAGGGAGCTGCAAGGATCATCGAGTCCAGCTCCCAGCCCTGCACAGGACACCCCAACAATCCCACCCCGGGTATCCCTGAGAGTGTTCTCCAAATGCTCTGGAGCTCTGGCAGCCTTGGGGACATGACCAAACCCTGGGCAGTCTGTTCAGTGCCCCAGCACCCTCTGGGGAAGAACCTTTCCCTGATATCCACCCTCAGCCTCCCCTGGCCCAGCTCCAGCCGTTCCCTGGGTGCTGTCCCTGTCCCAGGCAGCAGAGATTGGAGCTGCAGCCCCTGGTGAGGTCTGACCTCGATCTTCCCTTCTCCAGCTAGCAAACCAAGTGCCCTCAGCCACTCTTTGTAGGGCCCCTCCAGACCCTTCGCCATCTTCATAGACTTTCTTTGGGCATTCTGTAATTGCTTAAGATCTTTCTTGTATTGTGGCACCTGAAACTGCACACAAGACTTGAGGTGAGGCCGCACCAGCGGAGCACAGGGATACACAATCCCCTCCCTCAAGGATTTTGGCAGCCTTTTCATCTTAGACATGCTTGAAGTGGCACCTGCTTGCATCTTGAGATCTGCCATCCACAGGGCAGCCAGACTTTTGCCATAACTGGTAAATGAGCATAAGTATCAACTACCAGGGAAGAATCCCATAAATGAGCATTAGTATCAACTACTGCTAGAAACCTGCTCTTCACTGCACAGGCAGTGAGGAATTAACGGTCTTTGGTTTTACCAGAAGAAATTATGTTTTAAAAGGCCAAGGTGCCTAAGCTCCAGAGGTTGCCTGCAAGTTTATCATTGCAATAATACCAAAGCACCTGAACAGTTCTCTGCTGTTTAGCTGTTGGAAAACTACAGGAAGTGTCAAGCTGCTGATGCTGTATATTCACTTTAATATTTTATTAATGAGGAAGAGCATATTGGTAATGAGATTTCAGTCAGGCTGGATTGACACCCACAGTAAATATTCCCAACAGGGACTAGCTGTTGCAGCAGGAGTGGGCCAGCTCACCCCCAGGCAGTGAGTGCCATGGGTGTGTGTCTGAGCCCAACTGGTGCAGCATCAGGATGATAGAGCAAAGAATCCTGGAAAAGCTATGGAACTAATCAATGATAAGTGCATGGTACTTCTCAGAAATCTGTTTTTGCAGTACTCTCAGACTGTGGTTTCCTAAGCAAATATTCTGATCTCTTTCTGAACTACTTTCCCCCTAGAATTGTTAGATTACCCTATAAGAATAGATATGTTATAGTAACATTGAAATAATAAAACAGTTTGGAAGGAACATTTTTTGGAACACACAAAATATGGTAGCAGGCCAATAGTGCTAATAGAAGGAAAGGGGATCAAGGAGAAAGAACTTCAGAATTTCAAATATCCTAAAAATCACCAAAATTTGGTCAAAATAACAGCTACTGCCATGCATGAGATGTCTAAAAATAAGACTTTCAAACAGCCCTGCATGAATCCAATGCTCCAACAGTGCAAAGCTTGATCACAAACAAGACATTCTCTAAGTAGCCTTGTGAGCGATAACTGAGTCAAGAAGAATTAACTTCTTGTCGTTAATTGTCTTACAGAGTCTTTAAGTTCAATAGTCTTAGGAATGGCAAATGATCTATAAATAAAAGATGATAAATTTGCTTGTGCTTTTTTCTGTTTTGTTGTTTAGGGAGGAAACTAGTCCAGAGCACATGCCACCAGGAGCCTGGCTGTTGGCATCCTTGGAGTCAGGGAGGTGCAGCAGAACTGAGCGCTGCCAGTTCATGCCCAGCCACAAACACAACCCTCCCTCCCCAGTGAGAAGAAAAAGGAAAAGCACAAGGGGAATCAAGGTGCTTCCAGAACTTATTTAATATAAACTAAAAGTTTGGCCAGACAAGAATACAAGGGAAAATAAGTTAAATTTATGGAAAACAAAATTACTCTGGAAAGCAGGTAAATTAAGCTACACTTAAAGAGCAATTAGTCAAAGACATGAGGCAAAGAAAGTGTTTTTTCATCAACCAACAGCAGAAAGCCTGCGAGATTAATCAATCTTCTACTTCAGCACTGAGATGCAATGTGTTCCACAGTTCCTAGATGTTGGTTGTGTAAAGGAAGGGTTAATAGCAGTTGGTATTAAAGTCAGTGACTCATTATCCAACCTGAACAGAGGCAGATTAGGAGTGGCTCCCTCAAAGGAAGGAACTGAACAGTCATTAGGAAGAACTAACGAATAACCATGTCAGAGCAAGAACAGAGATGAATGTTATCAGTTTAGTCTTGGTTCCTCTGTTAAGGAAAGTCAGTCCCACAGCAAGATGAACATGGACACAGACTGTGGAGCAGACTAGCCACTGGGACCTGAAAGGTTCGCCTGCCTGGGAGGAATAGATACTTACATTATCCATGGGAAACACTTGTTCAGTGTAATTTCCCTTAATATTTCTTCTCTTTTCTCAGCCTGGTGCATCTTGCTGTGGACCTGCTGCTCCAGAACTCCCCCATTCTTGCTGCTGTAGAAGAGCTCCCAGCCTTCACCTCACTGCCAGGTCTGCAAGTGGCTGTAGGCTCACCTTGTGGGCAGGTGCTTTTCTGTATTGCTACTTCAGCATTCACAGTTCTAGGCATGCATGTCACTTAGTTGAAAAAAGTTACAAAAATAAAAGAAGAAAAAATGTTCAGGTTTAAAAAAGTATTGCAGATAAAATTTGTCACTTGTTGCATTCTTGCTCTGATTTCGTATCATCATGTTTGCTACCACATGTGACATCCCTTTCTTGTCTCTTACATTGCTGCAATTAAACTGTACACCATCACACAACATTTCTAGAAGGAGGTTTTTCATGTTCAGATATCCCCACAAAATATCAATAAACACCATCTTGCTTAAGCATACAATAACTTTCTTCAAATATCTATGATACTTCAGATGGAACATTTTTCTCTTAGGACAAAGATGTGCATGTAGAAGGCACATCACTGAGTTATTTAAAACACATACTGGTCTCTGCATCAGCTCTCTAGGGACCACCAATCCAAAGACAAGATGATTTAAAAGGTAGCATACTTTACTAGAGCCACTTCTATGCTCAAACTTAAAATTTCTGATTGTCCATAGAGGCCAATCCTTGAGAAGTTTGGCCCTGGGCATATGTGGGGTAAATGATGGTGTTGCTCCAGCAAACTTTTAGGGCAAGAAAATGACTGGCAGTGAGTCCTCTGAGTGCCTGGGAGAAGCAGGCTGGAGGAGGAGGGGGCCATGACGCTGGCTGAAAGAATTCCTCCTTTCAGAGAACAAGCAGCGCTTTCACAGCAGTGGATGCTCAGCCACAGCACACACTACACAGATTACATCAGGGCCATTTGCTGCCTTTGATTAGTTTTAAGAAACAAAAGTATGAAAATTTTAAGTTCTAAACTTGAATGTTCAAGAGAAAAAGCATAATAATAAGGGCATTATGGAGCAGGCAGTGGGAGCTGGTGGGGAGCAGTAGCACTGCTTCAAAAACCTGGAACAGTAGTGTGCTGTTCCTGTGTGAACAGTAGTGTGCAGTTGTGTGAGACATACAAAAAGCCAGTATTTAAATCCTATTCTACTGCAGTTTTTGCCATCAATAATATTACAAAAAGATACTATTAGAATGCTACAGGTTGATATTATAACAGATAAGATGCACTTGCCAGTGGTATCACAAGAGCACATCTGAGCTAAAATACATCTGCTGTGGCCATTTCAGAAGAGCAGCTATTTACACTCCTAACACTTTAAAAACATGTCGTTTTTGTTGGCATTTATGAAATTAACACAAGTATCAGAAGTAACAGATTTAGCTACCTAGATGTGGGGTAGGGCTGCCAGATTTGGGAATACCATCCTTGCCAGACCTTTGCTTTCGGTCTGCTACAGCAACTGAATTCTTCATCTTGCCCAAACGCACAGCAGCACGGTCTGCCAGCACGCTACCCGTAGATGTGGATCACTCAGTTATTTGTCTTACTATGGTCTGCCCATATTTCATCCCTACAGTTCTTGCTGCAGACTCTAAAATGAAAGTATGAAAAAAACCCTAAATTAATTTGAATTGCAAAGTATAAAGTTCTGGTGCTGTGCCTGCTTGAATCAGCACACAGAATGAAATTAGGTCCATAAATCCAGAGTTTTCAAAGTAGTAGCCTGGACACAAGGGATACTTTGTGCTGTTGCCTTTCCTGTCACATAATGGCTCTCCCATGTCCATCCCAGAGGCACAGCCACCACTCCTGGGACAGGGTGCTCCATGAGCTGGTGCAGTTGGACAAGCAGACAATCCTCCTGTTGTCCAGAACTGGCCCACGAGCCACCAATTAGACTGCTCTAAACGACAGCATTCTGTTCAAAGGGCTGCTAATTGTATTTTAATGATGATTTAAATGCTGCTGCTGATAATTTCAGAGACATCCAGATCACTAATTACTCATAGTCTATGTTGAGCTTTAAGCAGGCGCAGGCACAGCACTGTAGAAGCATCAAGTAATGTCATTAATGTTCTCAAAGGCCTTCACTGCCCTCCTGCATGTAAAAAGCATCATCTCCTGTTCCCAGGCCCAAGCCCAGCCCTGGCTACTCACATCTGGGATCCAGCGGCCCAGTGCACCACAGGTTCTTGCAGCATTCTGGAAATAAGGCAAGAGAAACAGCGAATCAAAATTACTGACATTGATTAAACTAAATTCTACCAGTATTTATAAAAAATAGCGTGAATTCTTACAACAACGCCACTTCAGATAATTTTACTTTTAAAGTAAAATACTAGCTCAATTGAACTGCATCCCTGAACACAATGTGGTCAGAATATTTGAATAAACTCGCCAGAAATGCAAATCCTAACAAGCCACCTGCACAGCCAGGAAGAACATCAGTCTGTTGGAGCAAGTCCAGAGGAGGCCACCAAGATGGTCAGAAGGATGGAGCACCTCTGCTACAAGGAAAGGCTGAGAGCATGGAGGTTGTTCAGCCTGGAGAAGAGAAGCTCCAGGGTGACCCAGTTGCAGCCTTCCAGTACCTGAAGGGAGCTTACAAGAGAAATGGAAAGAGGCTATTTACCAGAGTGGTAGAACAAGGGAGAATGGCTTCAAACTGACAGAGGACAGGTTTAGGTTAGATATTAGAAAGAAATTATTGGCTTTGAGGGTCACGAGGCCCTGGCACAGGCTACCCAGAGAAGCTGTGGCAGCCCCATCCCTCGAAGTGTTCAAGGCCAGTTTGGACAGGGCTTGGAACATCCTGGGATAGTGGAAGGTGTCCCTGCTCATGGCAGGGGTGGCACTGGATGATCTTTGAGGTCCCTTCCAAGCCATTCAACTCTCAGGTTCTCTGACTGTCTCCTTGCTGTTGCAGCAGGAGCAGTCATATGGTGGGAATGTGGCCAGCCTGCAGAGCTCACACAGTCAGAGCTGTGCTGTCCAGTGAGTCCAAGGGAGTAGAGTTTCCAAGGCTGGCAAATCAATACCTGCCATAAGCATGAAATTCCTTCCCAAATGTTTACTTGTATTCTGTACAAGATGCTCATAGTGTGTGGAGGAATCTATTCTCCAGAAAAAATATTTAGAGTGCAAGTCATAGTTTTACCCTTCAGAAATTCAGCCAAAACACACCGAATGTGCTATCCATGGGCAGTGTAGTGCTGGTCAAGATGTTTATACATAAAACACTCTGTCAGTGAGAGTAAAGCACATGTCTTGCCTGTGTAATTGATATCTACAAATGGGGAAGCTGGCTGAGCCCTATTCTAAAATACATGCTTTTATGAGAATGTAGGTTAGCTGTAGTACAGTGGATTTTACATGCCAAACCTAAGCAGAAAGAGACTTTTAATGATGCAGGAACAAAAGGGAGGCTTGTTTTCTCATTGGAAAATAAAATGCATGTAAACAATTCCTAATGCTGTTTGGCTTTTTTTTTTTTTTGGTGAAGATTTATGTGAGATTAATCACTTTATAATCCTAGACTGTATTAGTTTCACTAATCTACCCTCAGTTTGATGTGAGATTGCTGCCTAGGACAAGAGTGAGGAGCTTGCTCCACTCTCTGACCAGGCACACAGTAAAGAGTGTGGGATCCTCTGTGCACTCCTTCCCCCAGCGATGTTGTGCCTGGAGCTGCAGGGGCCCCTCTGCCTGAGCAAGCCCCTGAAACAGCCTTAAAGGAGACATTTGCTTGTGCAGCTCAGGTGGCTGGTACAGAACAACCAGATTGGCATGTGGGAAAAATTGTATATGTGATTTTTTGCAGCAAACATACCTAAGAGTTTTACTTTCTATATAAATTGTCTGTCTTGCTTGTCTGAGGAAGGTTTTAAGTGTGTGTTTTGTGTGTCTCTCCATTTTCTGAGGGCTGTGCAGCCATGGCAGCTTTGTAAATGAAAAGTCATTTTGTTACCAAGTGCTGTTTTATTTTTCCTTTTACGTTGTTGATGGTAGAAACTGAGTAGATACAAGGGCAAATAATTCCTCCCTTTTCTGTTTCAGCAAGCACGTGCCTCATCTGCCAACCTGCTCCTACAAACCCCACAGCTTGCACAGAGCAGCCGAGCTGAGCTGATGCCAGGAAAGTGAAGGTCTTGTAAGACAATGTTTAAACTTGTGTATTCCCAGCTTTTGTAATTACAAGTTAGTCATTCAGTTTTCATTCTTTTCAACAAGACCTGAGATGTTGGTGTCGTAGGTTTTCTGTCTGATCTACACAGGTTACTTCCATATCTTCATTTAGTCTTTTAAAGATACATCGCTTGAACTTTGTCCTGTGGCTTTCTTGCCTAAGATCAGTCAGGAAAACGTTTAAAAATGAAAGAATTAAATATTTTTGTATAATAGATAATCTCTTTTGCAAGAGATGAAGAGAGTTAAACCCTGCAAGCTTGTCACTCAGTGACAGAAACCCTGACTTCTGGAAGTTGTACACACATGCAGCTTGGCCTGCACTCAATGTCTTGATTGCCGTGAAACTAGAAACATTACTGAACATAAAAAATTTGTAATCCAGTTCTGAAAAAGAAGAAAAAAAAAAAAACCAAGAAAAAAGGCAAATATTACTCAGCTTTCATTTATGAGAGCATTCTTTTCTTCCAGAAGACATCCGTTTAATTCTCCAGTTACTCTCACTATACCCAGCAACTTTTGATCTCCCCCCACATAATACAGCACAGGAGAGTGTCTCTTTAAATTCATTTATAAAATAATTCAGGGCTGTGGGTGTCTTTGATCTGTTCCTCTCTGCTAACGTACAGAAGAGAAGAACATGTCGCTTAGCAACTCCGTTTAGCCTGCTCTGGGGGAGGCAGGAGGGATGGATGGTCCAGAGCCACAAAACGGGAGGATTAAACCCCGTCAGGAAACTAAATTTTGGACAATCTTTCTCAAACTGAAGCAAACAAACATGGCTGTTTGCAGAATTGGGTAACTGGGTAATCTCACTTTTTCCTTTTTTTTTATATCCACTTATGGTCTATTAATAGCAATCTTCCAATCAAATGGGAAAATCTGGCATGGCATGGACAGTGCAGGGTTCAACAGCTTCAGGGCTGGGTTGCAGGTGAAGGGAACCTGAAGTTTGATTTTAAACCAGTTCAATAGATTTTAAATAGAGTTAGTGTTGTGGTAATGAATTTCATAGATTTAATCTTAACACTTCAAATAAATTTTGTGTCTCATCCCGTTGTACAATTGGACAGCCTAAGTGTCCCCAGCCTGACTTGTTCAGGGTCACTTACCTTGTTGTAAATAAACCCCAGAATTCTCTGAGTGGTTACCAGGCTGTGATTCACTGGTAACTAGGTAACATCTTAGAGCTGCAAAAATATACCAGTTAGGAAAGTAACTTTGCACTGAAGTAGACAAGCAGCCCTCAGCCCTTTGTCCTTCTTGCAGCTGCAGGATGGTGATGTCCCAAGAGCCATGGAAGGAGGAGGCACCAGCTCAAACCCTCCTGCTCGTGCCCTTGCTGACCAATGCTGACCTAGAGCAGACTTGATTGATTTTTTTTTCCCAAACATCAAATCCCACAGCAATGTATGGCTGAGTTATAGAAGAAAAAATGATGCTAAAAACCTGTGTCAGAGGAAGAATCACAGAACTACCCACTTCAGTACCTCACACAGACAAAAAATAGGTCTAAATGAAATACAAGTAAATTGTTACACTTAGTCTTCTGTTAATGATCATAAAGATTGTCCTAAATCTAATTAATTTTTGCACTACTTTCATGTACTAATCACTCATAACTTATTAGTGAACAGTTAAGAGAGTCCCTAAATTCTAATGGTTCAGTTTTCTCCCAGAGCTTGGTGCAGACAATCTTGTGCTCAAACTCTGTAGTAAAACTGCAGATTATTAGACTGAGTACCTACCTCTGTCCACAGGCAGGAAGCTTGTCTAAACTGGCATCTGCTACATATTCCAGCAATTATAAGCATACCTGAAAATGGACATGATTGGACTCTGAAGTAACATTGTTTTTATCTAGTAAGGGAGGTGCTAAGTTCTAGTGTGGAGCTCATTCAGAGCTGAGGTTCTTAGAAGTACACTGAAGAACTTAATTCCTAAGTGACAAGATAATTTTTATTACCTATATATAGTAAAGATCTGTACAGTAGAATAATGTCTTCAAGGGGAATTTTACTGGTGACTGTAGGTGTGCCTGGATTTTACCCAGATTCTCTCAGTGTGCTTTTGTATTGGCAAATGCTTGTGTAATGTGATTCTTTGGAGAAATTTAATTAAAGAAAAATGTGTAAGGCACTTGGCATTAAGTGGCTTAAGTTTGTTAACATACAGTATGGAGAATAAAGACCAAATTAGAAGCAAATAACACCAATTTAACTGTGAGCATTTCCATAAAAATGCTTTAGTAAGAAACTTCTATTTTTGTAACACATATTTTCTCTATACTTTTATGATGATTTTCTCTATACTTCATACTTTCAATTTTATGATCTAAACAAATTTAGAGGCTTTAGTCGAAGTATCACAAGCTGAAGGAAACCCTGTTGACTTGACTTTGTCTTTGCTCTCAGTTACACCACAGTTAACAATTCTTAACTGTAACTCAATACTGAGAAAGTAATTTTGCTGACTGCCTAAATTGAGGAGGAGGAATCCAGCAACAGTAGAAGTCTTTTACTTGCACTTGTGTTTACAGCTGCAGTTCATACATGTAGTGGGTTTTAGTTTTAGGAAACAGAAATATGTCATATCCATAAGGCCAAGATGCTCTTTGTTGGAGATTCTTGTCACAAATACTTTCTATGATTCCTCTAACAGATGGAACATCTCCAGCTTCTCGAGCAGTCTTTGTGAGGCTGATGGTCTTGAGGAATATATTTTGGACTACACTAACTTCCAAAACTGTACAATTAACATAGCTTTCTGCTTATGGCATTCAGGTTCCCACATCAGGATGATGGAAAAAGCATGCAGATAAAGCATCATTTGCCCAAGCATGTCATCAGAAACTGAGTTCCTAAAGGTATGTCTCAAGTTGCAGAATACAAATAGATGTGTGATATTTTTCCATTTCAGAGCAATCATTATAATATCACTATGATGCAGATTACCTTAATGACTTCTTAATCTCAGCACTGACAGAAAGAGAATAATCTAAATTTGCAGAAGCATCATGTTGGAGAACTCTCAGTTTAGTGCAGCAATTCTTCAAAATGGGGAAAAGAAGATTGTCTCTGGCATGGAACCAGACTGCAACAGCCCCTGTTTTCAGGGAAGCAGCTCTAATCTAAAATCTATCAGACTATTTATTTGTGTTATAATTTCCTCCTAAATGAAAAAAGAATTATTAAACTTTTTGTCACAATATATAGAAAAGTGTGAAGTTAAAAATAAATCTCAGCTCCTCCTCAATGGAGGGTCAGTGGCTGTCTTTTTAAATTAAAAGCTCATTTGTCCCATTGCCTTCTGCTAAACAGTTGAGCATCACAGAAAGATTTTTTGGTATTTGAGGCTCAGTTTCCCCAGAGAAGAATAATTACAGCAAGGAGAACTGCAGAGAGATTGGACATCTTTACTGTTTGCAGTACTACCACCACACGTCTGACTCCAGCACCAGGCAGCTGGAATATAAACAGACTGAAAAATTCACTGAAATGCTTTGATACTGTATAGATGCAGAATTTGAAAGGATTATGAGTGTCTATTTTTAAAAGTAAATTAATAAAAGGCATTGTAAGGCTATGAAAAATACTGTGTGGTATAAAGGAAGATCAGGAAATTCTTGTTTTTCTTACAGTGTAAGGAACACAGGCATTCACACAAAGAGATACAGTGTGCAAAAATATTCAAACAAACCAAAAAAGCCATTCTCTCCTGGATTTCACTGTGTCCTGACTGCCTGGTTCAGCTGAGTGGGAACCATTGGCCAGCCTGCCCAAAGTAGCCCTGCTCGCGCCTGTCTCTCCCTGAAATCACCATGAGTATCATCCCCATGGTGCTGCCACTCTGAAAATTGTGACTGGAAGCAAATGGTTTTGAAGGAGAGAAAAAACAGGTGCAGTGAGGTCCTTGTCCTCAGAAAGCCTGCTGAACCACGCCTTTTCCTTGGAAGAAGTCATATTTATATGACAAATTTATGTGTAGCGGTGACAGTGACAGAATATTTCCAAGAAAATGGAATTATTAATGTTTTGGCAGTGTGAGATTGTTTTTTTCCCAATTGCAAATGTTGCTCCATCTGCCACAAAACCATTAGTTCCAACAGCCTGACCTTCCCCATTAAAGGGGCATCATAACACATCATGTTTGTGGCAGAGATGTGAGGAGAGGAAGGTGATACCAGTGTGTGGCACACTGCAGTGGTGTGCCCTGTTGGCAAGGAGTTGGCTCTGAGAAAACAAGCCAGCTGGGGAGGTGTGTCTTCCTTCCTCTTTTCTGGTGTGTGAATATTAAGTTAGTTGTTTGACATAATCTATGTTAAGATTTTGATAACACCACAGGCTTAAATCTGAGTTATACCATAGAAATACTGGTTGGACGGGGCCTTTAGATCAGCTCCTGCCTTCTGCTCAAAGCAGGACTGAACCAACACTGGATTAGATCTGCTGTGATTTTACCTAGCCAAATGTTTGGTATCTCCCACTGGGTAATCTCTTCCCTTGGTAGTCCTCATTATTTTTAGATTTTAAGATCATGACAGGTCTGTGTCTGCAAAACAATGTTTTTAGCAAAGCATCACATGTCCACAAAGATACCTTCCTGATTTATTTTTTGAAATCTGAGTTATAATGAGGATAAAAGATATGCAATTCCTTAAACCTAAAGGAGATATCCAACATAAGAAAGCAATCTTAATTCTAAAATGTCTATTTTAGTGATGACTTGTAATCTATGCAGTTTTATCTACTTGATAATATTCAGCTTAGTGTTGTATCTAACAAAAAAAAAAAAGAAATGGGAAAACTATTCCTTTGATACACATTAAATTATTCAGTTAGTAAATTAGTGAATCTTATCCTGTTATTAGCTATTAGCATGTTACACTTCTTGATGTTGCTCATGAAGAATGCCTATGGAAATGAGGAAAAAAAATTGCCTTTTGAAGTTCCTGCCACTTGATATGTTGACATTTATTTTAATTTGTGACTGTCCTCTTGAATGCAGTATTCCACTGTCTGGTTTTATGAGAGATTCTGCATTTTTAATTTGTTCTCCCATTGATCAGCCTTTTTTTTTTTTTTGAATGGGTAGCTCTCAAGATAATTAGCCTTTCAAGGAAACCATGTTCTCCTAAATAGTTATTAATATCTCTCCCGTTCAATACTCTTAGCTCTTTTTCATTAGGAGATTTTCAAGGCCTGGTTAACCTGTGCCTGGTATACTGAAGACAGCAAGCATCTCACTGAAGATTTCAGGGAGAGCAAGAGCAGACCCTGGGAGTGAAGAAACATCATTTGCATTCACTTTGGTGGATGGCTGTGTTCTAGGAGAACCTACAAACACTTCTTCATGCTCCAGGGTACACTGAGGAGGGAGTAAAATGAGTGAAAGAAAACAAGGTATGTTGCCTTCTCTTTTTTCATCCTCCTTATAGTCCAGGTTTCCATCTTCAGAGAATTCCATCAGATGCAGCAGCTGTGATACGGAGCCTCCATTAGACTGTCCTGTTCACAGTGCTGGAGATGAAAAGTTCCCTTTTATTTGAAGTCAATGTACATTACATAAACATAAACCCATTCAAACCAACAGTCATTCTGTGTCTGAAGCTATTTGCTGTTTTCATCTGTAGTTATGCACAGCCAATTTCAGTGAGGTCTTATTCTGTACCTCAGGTTTCTATAAGCAACAGAAAATAACAGTTGGCTATTTTGTCTCTGCTCGTCCTGATTTTAAAATACCTAAAGACCAACATCTTCCTTTGCAGTAGACACTGGACATTTTTGGGAAGAAATAGATCAAGAACTTCAATACAAAAAAAGGCTTAGAAACATCAACAACACCTTTCAGGAAGAAAATCAATATGAGATTAAAGAAATTAAATAAAAAATTACAAATAAAATGCAAAGTGATCCAACAAAGGTTGTAAAAGTCATAATAAATGCTGACCAAACAACCATCATGGAGTCATAATTTAAAGGGAAGCTTCACTTTAGAGAAGGGCAGTGTTTATAGAAAAACTAATTTTATCTTTTTGAATACTGTTAAAATAGCTATTTAAAAGTAACAAATTGTCATCCAAAACACTGCAGTGCATCTCAGAGGAGAGCTATCACAGACTATGAACTGGCCTCACATGGTGATCTATGTCTGATACCATAAGAAATACACTATTTCAAGAGCCCAGGCAAGCTGTATAGGTGGAGCCCTGTTCTTGCTGCAATGATAGTTTTGCTAGTGATGTTGGTGAATTGATGTTTTCCTCTGATTTTAGCCCATACAAGTTTAAATTCTGAGCTAGGAAACCCGTAGCAATTCTACTGCATGTAATACCAGTGATTTTAAATACATTTGCTTAGGAGGATTACTGAATGGAATTTGAAAAGTGATTTATTATTGGAAATTATTTGTACTTGTTTATTCACCCAGTTTTCCTAACTGTGCCATGTTATTTTGGATGGTAGTGTGCCTCAGCTGTACCAGGACACGATAAACACTGAAGCCTTTGGGCATCTGAGGTGAGTTGTTTCCCTTCCCCATTCCATTGGAAAATCAACAAAAGCAAGCCTTCAACAGCATGAATTCCATTATGACCCACCTTAGCAGGCACCTAAATCCTGCAACGATAATTTATCTTTGAACTCCTTAGTAGTGGTGCATAATTAACAAGTAAGCTGCAGGAACAGGCAGTTGCTCTGTATTTACCTGGTATTTGCTGTGCAGTCGTGGTGTAATTACGGAGATTATAGGAGTACATGGTGTACCTCGTTTTGTGCTATCTCACACCAGCAAAGCAGACCCCAGCGCGACGGAGCTGAACAAAAATTCCATTCTGCAGCGGGTGGAAGGGAGCCGCAGGCAGGGAGGGGCAGGCGGCGCTCCGAGCCGGGTCACAGCCCGCCCGCTGCACCGCGCGGGGCTTGGGTTTGGGACTGCTGCCCTGGCTGTCAGGCAGGCAGCTTGAACATGCAGATTCAAAGTCAGCCAGGAGGAGTTCGGGGGTTTTAGTATAGTAACTTTCCCCTCTGATGTATACTATGGTAGGTTTCTGTACTAATTACAGGAAATGCGTGGGAAGAATCTACCTTCTTACAAAGTTTAAATTTTTTAAAGTATATTTGATGTTAGCATATCCTCACTGCTTTGCCCTTTGGTATCACAATACCAAATGTGAAGTTGCAGCACTTAGGTGCTGGGAAAAAAATACCAGCAAGTGGTGAAAAGTGCAAAGAAATAATGCTGTGCCTCTTGAGTTGATCGCATTCTATGTGATTCAGCATAAACTATAAGTAAAACTAAATTTAAAGTTTCTATTATATTTGAGATCTACATCTAACAGGAAGGGGAATACTGTACACAACACTTAGTGCAGAAATTTCTGTGCCACTGCTCCAAAGCAGACTTTCTGCTCCTGAATGCAGTATTGCCTTCTCTAAGGAGAATGCACAAGCCTTTCTAGAGCATGGATACAGCAACACTAGTTAAGCAACTCAGCAGAAGAAACATGGATTTATTTGCTGTTGCCAAAGAATAAAATTTCACTTCAGCAGACAATAAAACCATCTAAGAGTTCCCTGTTCTGCTCCAGGAAAAGTAGGTAGCTTTTCTAAGTGTAAATTATTGTTGTTCAGCTTCATAATAATTGTCCTAAGTGACTTGATTTCTCAGTACAGAGTTAACAGATTCTCACTCTGAAGGGCCAGCCATGTGACCTGACAGGGGATGAGCTGTGCTGTATTGATTTCCAGCACTGCGTTAGCAGTGTTCAGCTACATCACCAAAATGAGATACAAATTACCACAATATAATTAGTTCATTTGAATGTCTCATGGTGATTTCACTCTGTGCCACAGCCGGGGCTCTTGTGGTTTTTATGGGTTCTGCTGACCTTGGCAAGGCGGGTGGGGCTCCCCCATCCCCTCCTGGCTGGGCTGCTTCTGGCACCCAGCTTGGTGCAAACCTAAAACTGACTTTTGAACCTTGGGTTCAGGAAACTTTGATGCTTAACATCAATAACTTATTTCTGTCACAAACTACATTATCTGAGGAGTTGTTCATGAGCAGCGAGAGTTAATATTTCAGTCCATCTCAGATGGTGCTGCTTAAAGACATGAACACAGTGCACTAAATCTTTTCTGTACTGACAGATTTAAAAATCATTTCAGAAGAAGTTAGAGAGCAAAAATAAAATAAAACTTCTTTTCCAAAATTCATATTTGAAAAAATGGTAATTGGTTTCTCACTAGCAGTATTTCTATGCGGAGTTTTTTATTGTTTTTAAATTTAAAAATATTTTAAATAAAAATCTTTTATTCTTAAATAAAATCTTCCTGTTTTCATAGTGGACAGTAAGGAACAATGGAAGAGATGCCCCTCTGTGTCCCATTTACAATCACAAACATCATCGTCCATGAATTCCATGACTTTTTCATTTCCATTTTTCCTACCTAACATCACAGAGTGCTGGGGTGGCAGCTGCAGCAGCTGTTTACTCTAGCTGGAACGCCAGCAAAGCATTTCCCTGGCACCCCAACCAGAGCCAGGCCTGTATTTTACAAGCTTCTTAAAGGAAACCTTTCAGGCCAACTGTGAGACTTGGATTTGGAATTCTAAAGCTCCTTGGCTCTGGTGTACCACAGCACTCAGGCTTTGACTTTTACCTCCTTTTCCATATTGTCAGAGTCACTCCAATGCTTTATTTTGTGAGAGGATGCAAGGTACCCAACCCAGCTTCCATTGAAAAGTGCAATCATTCCTTTGAACTTTTCTCTTAAAAGACAGTATTTTACCGTCTGAGAAGGGCACTTGCCTCCATCTAAAAAATGGAGAAAGAAGAACTTTGCACTGAGTCCAGCATGGTCCTGATCAGACTCCTCAGTTGGAGTTCCAATACAGCCTTGTTTTTCATTCAAGCATTACAACAACCAGGAGAATACTGCCATTATTTCTAGGAACGAAGTAATTTTTAAATGGTGAAATTGTGCATAATTTCAATTGTTCTCACGGAGAATACTCAAGACTAGCTCTTTTGATGTTTTGTTCACAGAAATAGACATGTGATGCAAGTGTATATATACAATGAATGGACGTGGGACAAATGTTTGAAGACCTATTGCAACAAGTTGCTCACAAATGATCTACAGCAATTGTTACTTCCAGAATGGTTACTGAACATGTGTTTGGAAAAAAGATATTTAAGCAAATCAATCTGCTTGTGGACAAATAATAAAAAGAGAAAAAGGAAAAATTCCTCTAACAAATATGAAACTGCAAATTATTCACTCAGTTCAGTTGGCAACAACCAATTTTTGTGGTAGTAGGAGCTCATAGAGTAGGAGGTAACTGTGTGAAGAATGATTGGTTTGGTATCTTATATTGCAATTCTGGAAGGGCTTAAATTTCTAATTTAAAAGCTATCTTCCTTCTTTTACCCAGTAAAGGAAACAAAATGATAGTTGATTTCTGTGAGCTTTTTTGGGCAGATAGGATCTATTTTATGTCCTCTAGACACTGACAACAGCTAACAGCTAGCTCATAAGAAAGAGCAGTTATTTATTAGAAAAGATCTCTCTTGCCAGGAAAAAACCCCAAAGCCTGCCTAAGGAAGGATATTGCCATCACAATCCTCTTTGCATCTTCCCAGGAAAGACGTAATGGGTCTGAACTTGGTGCATCTTTGAGTTATGGAGCCTTGTGTAAGCTGCACTTCCACAGCCCGTTTTTCAGTACAAGCACTGATTTACTTCCCTCTTGGAAGAATATAAAGCTCATCTGGGACATCTCTGAGCTAAGAGCACCTTTTGCTTCTCCTTCCCCATTCCTGGGATGAAGCCAGCCACCTTTTGGTGAGAGGCTCTGGGATGCTGCAGTGGGATGCCAGCAGAATTGTCTTCTTCTCCAAAGTGACTATAGCTTGCTCTGTTTATACCTGTGGAGTGGTGGATGAGAGTTTAGCATTCAACTCTTCTCAACTCCTTACGCGCATATTCTTGATTGAATATGTAACTCCTAATTTATTCACGAGCAGGCACATGCTCTCTTCCAAGGCATGGCAGATGCGAGGGAGCACGCTGCATCCCTACTGCTTTACTTCACAAAAACCTAAAAATGCTAAAGCCATAAATAGGCATTATACCACAATCTTTGGCTGAACGATCTCCAATGTTACTGCAGATCTTAGTCATAGTGAAAGCTTTTACAAGCTACTTTGAGCTAATGGCAAAATAGTTTTCCTTTAAAGCAGTGATGTGTTCCTTTCCACAAATGCTAATTGCTATGATTATATTGTAAGTTCTGGGCTTCGTTACACTGAGCTTTAGTTAGCTTGTTATAACTTTACCCTAACCATTGACCAGAGATTAATTTTACCCTTTCTGTGGTTTTAGAGAGAAAGATACAGGGACTGAGACTCTTTCATGTCACCAAAGTCAGCAATGGTAAAAAGGTGCATTTCTGCAAGAATGTTCTAGGCAACCTCCTCAGCAACAGAAGGATGTGCTGCAGAAGCTGATGTTCAGGAGCTATTTCACCAGCCCACTAGGATACAAGATGAGGATATCTGCATCCAGCTGAGCTATGCCAAAACTACCTTGTCTTCCTGCCTCTTATACCTTTCTTTTCATGCTGCAAATTCATGTTAGTTTCAAGACTGCTTGAAATGTCTGTGGCTGGCAATGCCAGCCCATGACTGGTGAACATCCTACCCACTGCTGGTGCTTTAGGAGTCCTTTTGGCAGGACCTGCCTCCTTGGGACAGGAGCTGGAGCATACAGTAGCTCATCACCTCATTGTCAGAGCACAGCTGATATGTTGGTGGACTAACTTCAACAATTTCACTGCAAGAGAGCTTTAATTCTGACTATTGCAAGAATATAGACAAATTTCTCAGTCTGCTTCAGTCTATGAATTGCAGATACATATATAGGTTGTTTGATCCTGGATAAAAACCCATCACTGCCCTCTCTCTTTACCTTCCCCATTCCCTGCAATTTGGGAATGTTTGCCTAGAAAGGGTAAGAAAACATTCAGCTGCTGCAGATCCTCCTAAACACACCAGCTTTTTTTTGTTTGTTTGTTTGTTTAATTTGCTACATATGACTAATTCCACTGAGTTTCTGCCAGGGAGAATTTGCAACTCAAAGTACCCCATGAGTGTGCTACAACACTGCCAAGAATTGAATACCACCAGTCTTCATAATTGCTGTTTTTCCAAAGATCAGGTATAGCAGAGGCTATTTTGGGCTATAAATGGAAATCAGAAAATGGGATTTTCTTTCCCTATTAGTTCCTCTCCTGGGAATTTTCGTCTTTTTCTCTGTGCACATGCTTTGGTTGTTGGTATATTGGTAATGTGGGTCTCTCAGAGCATCCGTCACTGGAGCCTGTTCTGAAGCACTGCAATGCCAGTGAACATGGGAAATCATTCCCACTAGTACCAATGTGCAGATTGTTGATATAATATCATGTATTAGACCAAAACCAGATCAGAATAGCCTGATTTACCCCATGATTCTGGTGACAGGTGATTCAAAAGTAAGGTTTACAAAATAAGTAAAGGTATTTCCCAGCTACCTGTACTTCCTTTCCTAATAGTGGCAATCCATTTGCAACTCTCAGTTTTGCAGATTGCCTGTTACCTCCTGTGGATGATCAAAGTCCAATCATGAATGCAGGCACTCTGGACTTGCAGTCCTGTCTATATCAGGGATGTCTGGCCTTGCCTTCAGTTTACAGCACAGACATTGCCATCTTAATCATCCATATCATATAGATCTAATGCAAGATCTTTGCATGGCCTTTAAATCTGAGAAGTTCCAATTATCATTCTTTTATCATCAATTCTTCTGTCATCATTTCTATCATTCTTCATGAATTACGCATTTTTCTTTTTTTCTGGAAAAAGCTTTGCATTATTAGGAGTTCAAGAGATTAGGTTTTGCTACAGCAACATGCAGATCTCAGAACTTGAGAACAAACCCTTAGCATCATATGCACTTTTCTGTTGCCCCTAATGGTAATGAGAAGCGTTTTCTGGGCTAGAAAATACCCTCGTTAGTTCATGACAGGGTAATTCTAGGCCTGTATGCCCTTGTTTGATTAAATGGTGTCCTTTGATAGGGTCAAAAAATAATTACCCTTTGATATTTTAGTCAAATGTAGTACTACTGAGAGGCACTCTTTTCCTGGCTATAGAAATAAAGAACCCATTTAACCTTGGAAAAACATGATTCATGCTATTTTCTTCATATAAGGAAAAGGAGTGGGCTTTTTTTTGGTACAAACCTATTCAGTGAGAGATATCTTAGTGTCCTGGGGTGACTTTATGATGCTTGTATCTGCATTTGTCGGTTTAGCCCAGAAATAAGTTTTGCACCTTTAGGTCTGGTTCCAAGAGTGAAGGGGGGACAAGAAGAATCGTGGAGTTTGTTATCAGAAACTGCTCTTGCACCTCTGCATCCTTCTCCTGCACTGTGTTGTCTGCGGCAAGGACAGACAGCAGGATAGAGCTCTACTTTGATTTTTAGTTAGTTTTAGCTAGCTAAGGCAGAGAATTTCTCTGGACTGTGGTTTTTCTTTTTTTGTGGAACTGTTTAGACCTCCTCTGGACTGAAAACCCAGAAGAGCACCAGCAGCTCACTGCTGTGGCCCACTGGGCTGGGCCAGGTTTGCAGCATTTCCAGTGCCAGAGGGACTGAGAAGAGAATGAGTTAGCAGAGCTATAGCCCACGAAGGTGACTGTCTGAGCATGTCATCTCTTCTAAGTGGCAAGAGGTTTTATTGTTTGATATTGTTCATTTCTTTGTGCTGGTGAATATTTTGCCTGTTAAATAAAAAAAAAAATTTCCCACTTTCCTCCAAAGAAATCTTTTGCTGAACCAGTTAAAGGAAGGGCTGCTTAAATCTGCTTTCTAGAGGAGCCCCTTTGGAGGTTTTCTCACAAATTTGCCCTAAACCAAGACACTTAGTCAACAGGGGTCAGCTCTGGCACTGAGAGAAGATGAAAAAATTTGAGACAATATGTGAAAAAACCCCGGATGGCTTTAACTAAATTAATAGAAAATGTATTTTGTCTTTTATCCAGCCATCACATGATAATCCTGACATCCCAAACTTTTGTCACAGTCATATGCTCTCATTTTCGTAGTCTTCCACTTTGCTTTGTCATTTACAGCATTCATGTGCTTGACTTCAAGCAACCTGATGCTGTTCACTAGTTACTTGATTTGATATTAAAATGTTGTTAAAATTGAAAAAAAATTTAGAAATTTGGAGAAGTGTGACTCAGTAAAAATTCTGAGAGCACAGTGAAAGATGTAAAGTGACTGAACTCTTGGATTTACTTTGAAGAGGTCCTGTCCCCCCCTGTCTCTCCTTGCCCACCACCAACTGCAGCCACCCTTGTTGATGCTGCTTCCTCTGCACCTTTCATTTGGAGGCTCCTTTTTTTTTACATGATTTATGGAGATATCTTCATCCTCAGCTCTCTCTAGTCCTCCTTCAGAAACAGCTGGAGACCCAGCAATTACCTGTGCCTCCTTGCTCTATCACCCAGCTCAAAGCCTTTAGACTATTGATGTTAACAGCTGACCCCCATTCTTTAATTCCACAGTTTTCTCTGTAAAGCCCCTTGTCCCAGCACTTCTTTCTCCTTGAGCCATTGTGGTTCCTCAAAATTAGAGGTGCCATGGTTTAGCTGAGGTGTTAGGGAATGGGTTGGACTCAATGGTCTTGAAGGTCTCTTCCAACCTTGTGATTCTGTAAAAAAAGAAAACAACCAAGCAAACAAACCAAAAATAAAACAAAAACAACAACAGCAACAACAAAAACAAACAAAAAAAACCCCAAACAAACAAAAAAACCCCAAAAAACCCCAGTGAACAGATGACAGCTGTGAGGACACACAGCTCTCAGCCAGCAGCATCCTGACCTACAGCAGTGTCTGTGTTCAGTAACCACTGAAGCTGCAAAGTTATGCCTAACAGCTGGCAGCTACAGGTCCATTCCTGTATTTGCAGCATCCACCAGGTGCTTGATTCCATTGATGATCCTCTAGGCTATCAGGGAGAGTTTGTATTAGGATATGCATCAGAAAAGCAGCTTTTCTCAGAATAGGAATCAAGATCAGGAGGCAGAAACCCTCACTTCATAAACAGGGCTTAAATCTGAACAAGAAGTGTGGGCTAATCTATCTGCCAGTCCTCTCCTGCTAGAGCTATGCTGCTTGAACAAGGAATACTCTGGTTTTGTTATTCATGTTTTCTTATATTGCCCCATGCCTACATGTCCCATATGCTGTGTAGGCACAAAAGAGCCGGTCACCCTTGTGCAGAACATCTGCAATACTAAATCATGATCCTTATGTCCTGCTTTCTCAGCCTTCAACCAGAGGTTATTTTTCATCAGCAGTCTAAAAGGGCTCAGAAGAAATCTCTTTTTGGTTTAAATAATTAACTACTTTGACCTGGATATTCTGAGAGGCCCCACTAATCTCAGCCTTCACAGCAGTTTCTAAAATAAAGTAAAAGCAATAGAATAATATGAAATAACATGACAATAATGAAATGAAATAAAGTAAATTAGTCTAAGTCACCATTAGTTTTATGATCGAGCTCTTCTGCTGCATGCACAGCTCCGCTTGGGATCAGACCTGTGCTTCTCCATCCTGTTTGGTTTGTGCCCGAGGCAATGTCAAGACAACAGTTTATTTCAGATGAAAATTTGATGCCATGCTATTCTGGGACTGAGTAAAATTTGTTCTCCATAATTACTTTACAATCAGTGAAGAGCTCTTTCTAAGAGCAGCTTGATGCTTTACACATATGCTTTAAATATTCTGGGCTTGTACTGCGTAACAGCCAGAAAGGACAATGGCCTGGAGAGTGCAGGGTGTTCACTTGAGAGGCCATCATCTTCTCAAAAGTGCTATGGCTGTGACAGAACGGGCAGAAATAGACCATTTAACCAGTCCTGAGACTGCTAACAGGGGGTGAAAGAAGTCCATAGAAGAACTGGAAAGTTTACGATGTGTGATAACACATCGCTCTCTAGTTCTACGTGGAATTTTATTCAAAAATATATGTACTTTAATAAATGAAATATCAGCCTGTGATTTTATTTCTCTGTTGCAGAAAGAAGGTGAATATACCATTTATTGGGATCGTCTGGGTGTGCAGGCACTGCCTACAGTGTGTTTAACCGTGCCTCGGCAGGGCCAACACGGGCGGGCCCAGGCAGGGAGCGGGACAGGGAGGGCACAGCTGCCACCCCCTGCACTGTCACCAGACACTGAGTAGTGTCCCTTGGTGTCACCTGGCACTGAGCACGTGTCCCAGCACCTCCCTCAGCCACAGGTTAGACAGTCAGCTGTTAGACACCCCTGCTCTCCACCTAGCACTGGGTGCGAGATGATTGCACAGATCCTGAGGTAGAGGAAGGGACAGCGGGGTGACACAGCCGAAGTCCCAACATCTGCCTGCAGCTGGGCAAGAGGTGTCATGGACACAAAGGGTCTCTGCTTACCTGCCCCAGACATGGCAGCACCATGCCCTGCAGGAAGAGTCTGGGCTCCTGCCTGTGACATGTACACCCATCGGGGCTGGGTTCCTGGTGTGCCAGTGCCCAGACACCCATCTGGTCGGTGGCACTTGCTGGTGATCCCTGGCATATGTCCCACATCCGTGCACGTAGCAGGACACCAGGACCAGCTCTTGGCACCCTCTGGCAAGGCTGAGATCTGCAAGTGACAAGTTCCACCCCAGCTCTGACCTTGCCTGTACTGTGAGACACTGGGCAGCACCACAAGCCAGACCCCAGGATTTTAATGGCACTTAGCAAATCTCACTTGCATCTTGGTTCTAGCTGAGACCAATCTTCAGTGCTTGAGAGGATGGGAAAGAAAAACAACCCAACACCCACAAGTTAGATGCTCCACCAGCAGGATTTTTTTTCTTTCCCCCACAGATAACCCTAGGAATCTAGCAGGGGAAAAACAAAAAGTTCCTTCTGTTCCCAACTACAGCAGTCCACCAAATCCCTCAGGACTCACAACAAAAGCCATTTGCTCCCTTACAGAATTTCTACTTAGTTGCACAATCCTTCCACAAGCTTCTCAAACCACCTCTGCAACCACAAGGTGCTCCAGAATTTTTGTCCTCCCATTACTATTAACTGTATTCTAATTTCCAGCCTGCGTTAACTCGAGAGTAATTGATTCCCGTTAAAAGGGAGGAGTTGACTTTTACCTGATGTAGTTCTTCCAGCCTGATACTTACCCCTAAGGGTATTTATCAATAGTTGTCTTTTGCTGTCCTTTGTTTGGTGGGGCTGAAAAACTGATGTTCATGAAATCCTCCATTTACAGCAATGAGTATGTCCCTTCACCTGGAAGCCCAGAATGGGTCTGCAGTTTGCTAAAACACAGTATTCTCAGCTGCATGTAAAAGTTGGTTATTTTTGGCGTGCAGTGAAGGTGATCAGGTACCAGGGTAGGAGTCCTGGTCGGTGAATTCACAAAGCCCCACACTGGCAGGGGGGCTCAGCTGTGCCAATGTCCCTCAGCAGCAAAGAGTCACTGTCACCTCCCCCTGCAACCTGTCTCTGTCACTTTCCTACAGTATTACTGCTTCTAAAAAAAAGTTTAACCCGGCAGATTTTTGACTAGCAAACAGCAGAGCCTTTGGGAGCACTTCCTTCAGTTCTGGTTAAATTCTCTGTGGTGGTTGCTGGATTTCCCTGTCCCTGCCCTGCACTCCATGCCCTGCTGCCTTCCTCTCACCCTGCTCTGTTTGCCATCTCTAGCCCCTGCTGTCTCTCATGGAGGTATTACAGTGAGTCCCTGCAAGTTCTGAGCTCTGCTGGGCAGGACACAGGCCTACCCCACCCCTCCCTCTGCCCCTGGCCCAAATCTCACACACCTCCTGTACCAGGATAATGCCAGCAGTGAACCCATGGCATCTGGAGGGGCATGAACTCCAGCTGGTGCATTCAGCACCATAAAACGCCCAGGCTGGGGCTGGAGCTAAAGAAGATCATCTCCCACTCATAGATTTGGTATATTTGGGCATCCATTGTATTTACTCCCCACAAATATTCTGTCAAAATGAGATTAGCGGTAAAAATATTTGTTAAGAAAGCAACCAAAGCAATTATTGCTGCATGTTTGTAGAACAACAAAGAGTTGGAAGGGGCACATCTGCCCCAGACACTGTTCTGGCCATGGCCAACAGTTCCATGTGGGACAAGAGTGTAAATTCCAGCTCCCTTTGTACTCTGAGAAGGTCCAATGGCACCTGCATGTCCTCCATCACTGCTCCCCTTCCTGGGAGGGTGGTGAGGGGCTGCCCCCGTGACACTGCCCTCCCAGGGCTGTGTGCCAGAGCGAGCCTGGGAGACACCACAGCAGCACTCAGACAGGGCTAAGAGGATTTTTAGGGTCCCTGTCTGGTTTTACTTTGCACATGATCTGAGCCATGACCAGGACACAAGTGGGGACACCAAATCTCCCAAATCCTTCCCTGACACAGGCTGACACTGACACCACTGCTGCTGCCTCACACAGACAGTGGGGCACCTTCCACTGCTCCCGGGCTCACACAGAGCCTCTGCTTAGATTAGGTTTTAATAAAAAATGAGCCTGTGTGCCACTGTGCAGCCGATCTTCCCCTGGCCAGAGGGGACACTGTGCCTGCCAGCTGCAGCTGGTGCCATGCGGGCTTATCCTTCTCCATCCCCACCCTCCTGTGGTGGGGCAGGAGTGAGGTGCTCTGCTGGGATCCTCCCCCAGGCATTTTGCCACCGTTTTCTTTTTTTACCTGGCAATGCATAAACTCTGAAACTAAACATAGTGACCAGGTTCCTGCCCCAAGCAAAGCAGTGATAAGGAATGCAGCACAGCTGCAACACACTGGCTTTCAGCCTCAGCAGCTCGAAAGATATTTTCCACAGACCTTTTCAATTTTGCAAGGAGGTTTCTGGACAATTAAATGATCAGTGAACTTTGCTTGGTGTTAAGGTACAAAACTCAGCCAAAGAGCTGAAGCAGAGTCAGACTGGGTATTTTGGAGGACAGCAGGAATCAGGTCTATCTGATCCCGCATGTTAGAAAAACAAGGCACAGGGAACAGACTGCTGCTTTCAGTTGACTTAATTAGTTTATACACTGAAACTATGAATAAAGGGGCTGTACAGTGCTTTGGCTTCAGTAGTAGCCCCGCAACCATGACAACAGCGAAGCATTGCTGATTACCATGACAAAGAGCGGAGGGCTGCTGCCACAGAGAGCCAGCTCCGGCCCATCAGTCATTCGGTGTGACTGGAAAAACCCACCCTGAAAAACAAGCCCTGAAAAACCCACTAGTACGGCCACTGCTGTACTCCACACTCCAGTTCTAGTTCTCTGCAAAAACAAGTGTTTGGAAACAGGTTCGGGCAGCTCACACATGTCCATGTCATTTCATGAACGGTAACAGTAGTGTCTTGTGAAGCTAGGATGCAACACGGAGGTTTCTTTTAAAATAGAGATTTGAACAGTTAGAGACCAGTAACAGAATGCTGTGCCCCTGCCTGCCCCAAGCTCCCAGCCTGGCCTGGCACAGGGGAATTCTCCAGGCTCCAGCCCACATCTTAAACATATTGTCCTAGATCTGGTTCAAAAGGACAATAAAAAAAATCCCCTGTTTGCCCCCAGTCATTCCCTCTGGTTCAGTCTGTGGTAAGATGCAAGCTCAGCAGTGAGTTGGCAGCCTCAGGGATGACACTGTCACAGGGTGTGCAGGCATGCACCCCCTCCAGAGTACCCTCTTCTGCCCTGGTGCCCCCATGGAGCAGCCCCAGCTCCCCGAGACCCTTTCCCCAGGGTGGGCACAGCGCCTTGGGATGCTCCAGCTTTGCAGAACAAGGAGCAGAGGAAAGAAAAAGGGGGAACTTTGCTTTTTCATCTGGGAAACATAATCTCAGGCTGTCCCCCCACTGGGGTCCAGCAGGGACTCCCTGGCCCAGCTGAGTCCCCCACCCCCTTGCCCATTGGTGGCCAGCACAGTCCCACCTGCCCTGCACAAGGGCCATCACTCCTGGGGACACTGCGTTTGTTACCAGAGCCTGAGCTGCTGACACTGAGCACAGCCAAAAGTTTACCCAGGGAGATTAAATAAAGAAAATAAACAGTGCTGTGAGAAAGACATGGAATTGAGGCACTTTCCCAACAGGACCAACACCACATGTGTGTGAATGCAGATGAAGCACCCAGGGAAGGGAGGTAACTCAAAGCATCTCAGAGCTGAATAAAAACTGATGGAGAGCCCAGCCCCACTCCAAGAGGGTCCCACGCCTCTGGGACAGGGGCACAGCCCCACTCTGGGCACTTCTAATTCAGCTGGAGCTGGACACAGGAAACCTGCTCATAGTGTCAGCTCCAGCTGAAATGGAGCATTTGGGTTTGCTTTACAACAACTGTGTTTTCCCATGGAGAAGCCATCCAGGTAGGTGATTTCTGAAGAATTTTCCTTGTCTGTTTTTGTAATAAGAGGTGGTAGAAAACAATAAAGAATAATCATACAATTACAGAATGGTTTGGGTTGGAAGTGACCTTAAGGCTCTTCTAATTCCAACCCCCTGCCAGAGGCAGGGACACCTTCCAGTAGGTAGAAGGAAATAGAAGGAAAAGGACAAATAAAAATCTCCAACTGCTGAACTGTACAAGTTGCATGTCCCTTTGCTTGTCTTTGCTCATAAGTAAACAGAAATATTCTGCATTGCTAATTGTCAGCTTCTTCATATCATCTCTCAGTGCTGAATAAATATAAAATAAATGCAGAAATATGCTCCTAAAATCCTACTCCAAGACCAAACAGGATGCTGCCAGTGATTTTCAGGGTGTTCATCACTTCTCATGTATGAGACCAAACCCACAGGGAAGGTGTTGGGAGGAGGGTGTCTTCCTCCTGATGCCTTCTCCCATCCCTGCATCACCAACCAGCATTGGGACACAGAAAGTTCATTCTGCCACCAATAGGCAGCACAGCAATGCAGAGCTCCACTGATGCCCGTTTATGGTTTTTTTTTAAAAAAAACCAACCCAGTGCGTGCTCTAAGAAGGATAACAAACATGAGTTACCTCCCAAAGTGTTCCCAAACAAAAGGTTTAGGGCTGCAAAGCCCTGTAGAGTCCCCAAGCCATCCCTCTCCCAAAGCACAGGCCACTGAGTCCAGCAGCTCACGTGCCATTAGCAAACATTTGAGAATGATGTTGCTATATCTGACCTTTTTAACTGGCTCTGCATTTCCATGACTGTGTTACAAGCCCCTGGAATCCTGGTTAAACATCCAGCAGCCTCAAACATCTCCACGTGCCCCCAGGCATCATATCAGTCTCTCACCAAATGTATTTCTTCTTTTACTTTCCAGATATTCTCCTGCTCAGACAACTAAAGCCCTGAGAAACTGCACAGAAAAGAAACATTTAAACATCCTCTAAAGTCTTACAGAAATTCCAAAAATCCAGGGGGAGGAGATTTGAAACATTTCCAGTCTTCCCTGCACCATAAAATCAGCAGCCACCCAAACAGTTCACTGCTTCAGCAGCCCCTGAAGTCACAGAGAACTAAGCTGTGCTTTAAACATTTGCAGGAATTTCCTTCCATTGCCATAAACCCCCAGTACTCACATCCCTTCTTCAGCCAGGAGGCTGGGATGAAACATTGGGACCACAGAATCCTGGGATGGTTTGGGTTGAAAGGGACTTTACAAGCCATCCTTGTCCACCCCTACCATGAGCAGGGACACCTTCCACTACCCCAGGCTGTTCCAAGCCTCATCCAGCCTGGCCTTGGACACTTCCAGGGATCCAGAGGCAGCCTCAGCTTCTCAGGGCAACCTGTGCCAGGGCCTCTCCACCGTCCCAGGGAACAATTTATTCTTAGAATCCAATCTAAATTGCTTCTTATTTAGTTAAAACTTGTTCCCCCTCACAGAATAATGGGGTGAATTAGAGGATCCCATTCAGTGGTTCATCCCAGAGGAACTCAGGGACCCTCAGCAGCTCCAAACTCTCAAGCAAGCAGCAAACACAGGGGTGCCCTCCCAGAGGGAGCAGTTCTTCAGAGGAGAGATTATCCAATGCCAGGTGGGCTGGGCAGATGTGGGGAGCAGCCACCAG